GAATCAACTCATACGATGAGCTTACGATAGCGATTATGACGAGCGTTACGACTGCTTACGATGAACATGTAGTTGTAGCCTTAAATACGTACTAAAGATGTATACATACTGTTGTATATCCATCCGCCTTGTGCTGGACGGTGTGAGCTTGGACGCTCCCGGCTCCCGCGTGTGCACACCGGTTAATTAATCCTGGGGCGACGCGGTCAAGACACTGAACACTGAGTCTTTTGATTTTATAACAGTTTATTTCTGTCTTACAATCACTCTCGCACAAGAAAACGTCCGATCGATACGCTCGCTGCTGAGTTTCTGCCGCTAGGGAGGAGAGGGGACGGAGAGGGGACGGAAAAGGGAAAGGAGAACGAAAGACGAAATACGAGCGAGTCGGTACGCGTGGCGCGCGATGAAAATGGCGCGGAAAATTCTGTTGAATCCGAAAAATTCCCCAAAGAGATTAATCAAGTTTATAACGTCTTTAGAATATGTCTAGGATATTTTATATATCAATTTATAAAAATTATAGTTGCTTTATTATTTTTATTTTATATTTATATCTATTTTATAGTTTATAATTATAATTTTATTTTACATTGAATTCACATTTATTTTACATTTAATTCACATTTTTTTACATTTATTAATAATTTATAAATGCATATATAAAAAACACTTGTCTACATTTATGTATTTACTATTTATCACATGAATCAGAATTAACTTCAGTACTGTTACGTCCAAACCCCGGGAGTCTCAGTGAAAAGGAAAACTGAGAAGCGAAGGAAAGGCCACCCAGAGGGGACGGGGTAAGGAAGGACGTAACTGAATTCTTAAAGGTTATCTTGGGTTGCGCGAGTAAACGCGTGCCTCGAGTCAAACTCACTTTTGGGAAGGCTCCAGTCAAGGGTCAACGTCCGAAAGGACGCTATTACGCCTACTGCGAGCCATGCGATCGTCAATCCTGTTTTAGGTCAAGGATTATGCAATCCCTATTACCTGGGATCGGACCGTGTAAAATTTTGCGAGCGGGGGAGGTTGGTGACGAGGTGTTAAATTAAATAATTAGACATTAATTTCAGAAATTAAAAACATTACAATTATTTATTATATAAATGATGAAAATTAATGAGCCAGTTACATTTATATGTATATAGAAAAACATAAAAACAAAACGCAAATGGTACAGATCTAGTGTGGTGTGTGTATATGTGTATGGAGAATACGCGGGTGTTACATTGGCTCGGAGGTCATCGAACAGGATTACTGAGGGGATGCTTCGACATTTAATATGATCTCCTGCCCGGTTAGTACATTTATAATTCAAAAAACACAAAGAAAAAGAGAAGGGTGTACGTCACGAGTGCGTGTGTGTATGTGCGAAAGGTGGTTATACTTGTATTTCTATGTTAACATTTTTATTTTTAATTAATCATTATGTGTTTTATTCTATTACTAAAATCAATCTATTAAAATAACTTTGGGAATGATCTCCACGCTCGAGGTGGAGAACGTGGGAGAAGTGGGTCTATTGAAAAGGAACCAGGGTATTTCGCAAAGAATCTCCACGCTCGAGGTGGAGAACGCAGGAGAGGGTGTTCTTTCGCGGTAATCGTCGCGTAGGTAAAAAGGGATGGGGGAGTGTGGGAGCTCCGGATAGGGGAACTGGTTGAGTTCCTCGGAAGGAACCGGGGAATAGGACGGTCCGGAACAGGGAGAGGAATCGGGGGTGTAGGGAAAAATTTTATACGCGAGTGAACGCGGGGGAAGGGAAAATTGTGGAAGATGGTGGCAGTTAAAATGTTCTCGATGCGCCTGGAAAAGCTGTCGCTCAACGACGCGAGCTCGCCTGCTACGTACGTATTTTTTCTTTATTTTCAGGGATAAACTCTTGCGACTCCGGCTAGTCACTAAAAATTATTATGTAAGGGGTGAGAAATTATAATTGTCTAATCAGTTTGGGAAGTTAAAAAGAAGAAATGAAAATTTGTAACATATATATATGCAAAGAATATATATATATATATACAGGGTGTCCGAAAAATCGCCTACTCCACTTCGGGAGGTGATTCGGGACCCAAAAACAAGCAAAAAAGTTCATACAAACATAAGTCCGGAAATGAGCCGTTTCCAAGTTATAGCCACTTTTATGTTCAAAAATCGTAAATTTTTATTTTCAATTTTTTTTAATTACAATTACCAAATTCTCTCAAGTTTCTGTCTACATTTCGAAAAGACGCTATTCCCGGTACATCTCGATTTGGTAAACACTGGATGTATAATCTTCTTGCCTCGGGAGCATTACTTTGAGCAAGACCATACATAAGATGCATATCAGCTAATTCATTAAAACTTAAACGATCCATTGATGAATACGGAAAGATTAGATACAACCTAAAAGTAAGGTGTTGTTAAATAATAATTTGAAACTTATTGAAAAGCCGTGATTTACTTACCGATTTTGAATAGGCGTGAAAACAACTGATTTCAAGTAGCCGTGAAAACAACTGATTTTGAATAGCCGTAAAAACAACTGATTTCTTTTAAAAATAATGTAATCGTATTTACAAATATTGAAAAATTAAAAAAAATAAAAAAATTAAAATTAAAAAAATTAAAAATATTAAAAAATAAAAATTTTTACTTTAAGAAATAATTAAGAGAGAGGGATGCCAAGCGGATTCTAAATTACGATTTTTGAACATAAAAGTGGCTATAACTCGGAAACGGCTCATTTCCGGACCTATGTTTGTATGAACTTTTTTGCTTGTTTTTGGGTCCCGAATCACCTTCCGAAGTGGAGTAGGCGATTTTGCGGACACCCTGTATATATATATATATATATATATTATGTTACATACGTATATGTGCACATGTCTGTACATAATATATATTTTTCAAGAAAAAAAAACATTATGGGATATTCTGTATATATAGAGAACTAATAGAGACGTAATATCGGTGAGCATAGCATTGAAACATCCTCCTCTATAGACAATATGACACTTATTCGCACGACAGCGCATATTATATATAATCCTTTCCGCCGTCACTATTGAAGACGTGACTACATGTCAGCCTCTCGACGAAACATACCTATTACAAAACGAGAAAACGAAGCAAAATTTGTTGAGCTGTTGGTACGTATTGCACAAATACACAATTGGTATCACAAATTGACTCCAACGTATGCGAGCCAAACACTTCGTCGTCGCACGCAATCTGTTTTACGGGAACGAGAAGCAGCATGCGAAACAGGAGGATAAATGGAATGTATCTCGCGTTTAGAAAAGTAAACAAATAAGCTGCTCCTACGACGTTTTAAATGCTCCGATAATCTAAATGTGAGTAATTCTAAATGTAAGTATATCAGCTTGTTGTGCATTAGCTGAAAAACGTAAGACGTAAGAAAAATAAGCGTTCAACGGTCAGTGTAAAATTGATTGCGTGTGACATACGCTTAACTAAAGGTTCTTATTTCCTAATATGAAACTTTCTTTACGAGGATAATACCTATCCGAAATAATACTTAATATTTTGCTAACGCGATTATCTACATATAACACAAAATTAAAGATTTTTGCATTACGCTAAACAATATTAAATAAGTTCTCTATGCAAAACTGGACCAACGCAGGCAGTGTGTCACTACGGCAGAATTGCATTGATGATACTGGCACAGTGAGGCAATGACCTTCGGATTCTCTCTAAATAACTAAGAGTAATTATTAACATATTTATCTGGAAAACTATATAATCATTTACGTCGCGTAAGTAATTATTTTGTTTATTCTATACTAGAGATGGGTGATACAGTCTGAAAGTATCGTATCGATACGCATCATGAATGAAAATATCGTCCATCTCTATCCTATATCATCCATACCATCAATCACTTCCACTTAATTCCTATACACGGAAAACTAATATTGCAGACCAACATTTAAAAAATAAAACTTTTAAGAAAGAAAACATGTTGCTACAGCATCTCGACAATATTGCAAAGAAGACCAACATTTAAAAAATAAAACTTTTAAGAAAGAAAACATGTTGCTACAGCATCTCGACAATATTGCAAAGAAGACCAACATTACAAAAATAAAACTTTTAAGAAAGAAAACATGTTGTTACAGCATCTCGACAATATTGCAAAGACCAACATTTAAAAAATAAAACTTTTAAGAAAGAAAACATGTTGCTACTAAACTGATCTGACTCTTACGCAAAAAGATAAATATTCATATTAATTACTGCATCGTTTACAATCTAACGTCCGTTTTCCAAAGGCACGTTATTTTCCAAAGGCACGTTTTCTTTTTCTTGCTCTTTGTTTCTCGTCATACGTTCCTTGGCATGGGCTAACCATACTTTAATCGGAGCTGAAATTTGGTCGTCTGTCACATTAACAAATGATTTTCGTATCACACCTGAAAAAATAACATTTTTATTGTTTATTATTTCTAAATAGTAGAACAAATATGTCTATGCTAATTTAATTTTTGTATAATATTATTAGATTAATAATTTAAATTCAGTTACAAATAATTATATGCTCTATCTCTAATATACACAAAATAAGATACTTTAATATATCAGTATTGATAAATGTTTATATTATTTAATAAATTAATAAATTATTAGAAAATATTTAGGAACATATCTTTCAACTTTTACAGCAATAATTATAGCATTCATTAATAAAAAAAATACAAATTGTTTTTAAATATTTTACTTACTTATATTTATTTTACAAATTTCTTATTTGGAAAATATTAGTTTCTTTTTTGCACCGTACCAACTGTACTTAATCGCCAGGTCATTAGAAACCATTAGTTTCATCAGTCGCAAACATGATGTTTTCATGTTTTCACATAATACAAATGCCAGTTGTGTCGTTTAAAATATTTGTAAATATTTGAAACAATAAAAAAAACGTACAAAGTATAGAATGTATGGAAATTTTATAATATTAAAAAGTAGACATTTGACTTACTTACCATTTCACTTCAATAAGATGCGTTATTTTTTAATTTTGTCTCCATCGCTTCAAGATCGTTTTCATCCTTCAATGGCAGATCTTTAAAAATATCAATTTTTTGTCTTTCTTCCGTTTCGAAAGTACCAGTTGAAAGTGTGCCAACGCGCCGTTCAATATTTTGTATGGCCGTGAGTATGTTGGTCATGCTTGTGGCTATTTCCGTTACTTTTCGAATTAAATATAGTGTAGGATCATTTGATTCTAAAAAACATTCGAAACAGATTTCATTTATGTATGAAAAGAAAAGATAACATTTTCAAAAATTCTACAGATTAAAAATATGAAAAAATGTAAGCTGATTGAACTACAAATAAAAAAATAAAACGCAAAATTTTTTTATAATAAATAACATTACAACTCTAATATATATAATAATCGTAAGTAAAATAAAAACTATTTGCATACTTACTTAGTTTAAAATTGTAATTTGGTCCTAGTACTTTAGTCTTCTTTCCTGTTAATGACATTACTAAAGTATTAACATTATCATTATCGTCATCATCACATGATTCTTCATCCTTCAAAACATTTTTATTTCGTGAATCTAAATGCAATAAAAAATAATATTACCATTACTATTTCAATACAATTTTAACACATTGATCTCACATTTACCTACATATACAACTACAAATACTAGATTAAAAATATAAAAAGAACCAGTAAAAACAACCTAGTCAAAATAATGTCAAAGTGACATCAAATTGATGAGAAGTATGTCAAAATGAATGATTAAAATGATGGCAATATTACTGCATAACGTCCCATACCATAATGGTGATTTTAACTGTCATTTTGACATCTGTTTGACGTCAAGATGACAGTCACCCTGTACAGGAATATAAATGCACGATTAAAATTAAATTATATTAAATGAGAGCAGGTTGTTTTCACTAAGTTAAAACAGATATCACAAAAAATTGTTGCAAAATAAATTGCACAGAATAACGTTATGTACATTATATAAACTTATGAATAATTGTAAAATATAAAAGTAAAATAAAAATTACTTGTATACTAACCTTTAGAGGTCAAGCTCGAACTTGATAGACCATCATCTTCATAATCTCGCTTATCTCTTTGAATATATACTGGGTCGTCTACTTCTTTTTCTTGTGTTTGATGATTCCTAGACCCTCCGGGTCTAATGCGGCCAGAACTAACAACACTTGGTGGACCTAAAAGTAAGGAAACAACCATTGTATATATTGTTTATACCGTTTTTAGATAGATAGGCTGCGTTCAGCGAAAAAAGTAACTCACTGAGCGCTCACTGAGCTGCTTTTCCGCTGAACGTAGCCATAGATAAATCTTATTTCAATAAAAATTATACTTACGAAAATCGTTTTTTCCTCCATTGTAGTGTTTGTTTGATGCAGTATTTTCCATTTTCTTTGTACTCTGTCTGTTATCATATGATCTGTCGTCAAAACCTGAAAATCATACAACAATACATTGCTGAAATATTATTCTATAGTTAAAAACATTATTCTTAGTTAAAAAAAGATCACAAAAAATTGTTGCAAAATAAATTGCACAGAATAACGTTATGTATATTATATAAACTTATGAATAATTGTACAATATAAAGTAAAATAAAAATTACTTATATATTGACCTTTATTAGAGGTCAAATTCGAACTTGATTGAACATCATTATCTTCATAATCTCGCTTATCTCTTTGAATATATACTGGGTCGTCTACTTCTTCTTCTTGTGTTTGATGATTCCTAGACCCTCCGGGTTTAATGCGGCCAGAATTAACACCACGTGGTGGATCTAAAAGTAATGAAACAATGTAATTTCCTCGGCAACGCCGTCGAGGAATTTCGATTCCTCGGCAACGCCGTCAAGCTTAAGCTAGTGCTTTATAAAGTTCTTACTTTTTTGTGCATTTTTGGTTTTTGTCCAATGTGTAACTTCGTTTGATAACTTATTCGGTGCTTTTGGGATATTCTCACATATACTGTCATCTGACAGTTCATTATCATTGCTGCTCATTGATGAGTTCCTATCTTTTTTGGCTCTATTTTTCCTTGATTTCTTACGACATTCATCTTTCTCGGTATTTGATGTAAGATCAGACTCTTCTTCGGCTCGTTTCAACTTTTGTCTTGCCACGTCATAACTCACTGCAACAAAATAACATAATAAGAATGAAAACATGTACCATTGTCCTATAATTATTAAAATACATCAACAAACATTAATGTTGTATGTGGAAAACAAATAATAATACACATATTTTAGAAACAAATATAATATTACTTACAATATGTCCCATATATTTTTCGGATGGAACATTTTGACCATGTAGATTCCGGCTCCGCCGCACGTTTAACTGCTTTGTTGTGTCTTGCAGTACTAGTGTACATAGGCCAAAAAGCTTCCGTCGAATCTTCAGTCAACCAATTCTTTGGAACTACTGAGAGTCCATCTTCAAATTCAACGACTGCGTACATCTTCAACGTGCCAGCCATTCTGCTTCAATACATGTTAAATTTTGTTATGTATTAATGGAAAAACTGCATATTTGTCATTTTTATGCGGCAATTTCACATATTTTCTAATAACATTTTTTAATGGCCACGATTTCAATTCTGAGCATGAGTGCACACTATAAATTCCAAGTAATGATGATGGACAAGGAATATTGTATAGGTCGTTTTTTTTCTAAAAATTCGCGACCTATAATGACTGGAATATTTCGCTTTGAACAGTGTGCTATATTTTCTATACATACAATGGCACCACAATTTAAGCCGCAACAACTATCGGCGAGTGTCCCAGCTTTCAATGTAATTCCTTTATACTTCACAATTTTATATTGTGGATTGTTACAATTGGAAACAAGTGGACCATCATAATGCAAATTTGTTAAAGGATGTACCAAAACAGAATGTGATGAAAGAGAAGTTGATAATGATAAATCCGAGTTTATTTCTTGTTCAAAATATCTCCGCACAACTTGTTGTAAAGGTCTCTCTGTTTTCCTAATATATTTTTTCAATGTTTTCATATAATTTTCAAATTTAAATGCAGTGAAGTTGTCAAGCGGTCCAAATCTTTTGACGTCATCAACAAGATGTACAAAACTGTGAATATTATGTGACATATTCTCAATACCATATACTTTCTTAAATGTTTCAATAAAGAAAACTATCAATTCTTGCGCATAATTTATGTATTCATTTAAATCTGGTGAAGAAAAAATGCGAATAATCACATGTAACGTCATAAAGTTGATATATACGTTTTTTTTAAATATAGATTTAAAAGCCAGTGGACCCGTGTATAATAATATCAGTCGATATTCTGTAGCTTTCCATAATTTCACACAATTCAGTGCTCGTGGCTTTCTTGCAAATTCTACAGGTATTGCAGGCTTTAACAGTGTTATTAAACGTGTAGAAATTTCTTCAACAGCTCTATTTTGTAGTCGATAATCCAATTTTCCAGAAAGCCATAAATATATTAATTTGCGTATAATTCCTAAAAACACCAAGTGCATAGGATCTAAGGGAACATTGGTAACAGGCTTAAAATGTGGTATTTCTAACAAACTGCAGGTGATATCTGGCTTGTGATAATTATCGTCAGTCTTTCGAATGAAATTGTCATCTGTTCTAGGTGGTGCATCGATTTGTGGGAAACATATTCGGTTTCCTACATATTCTCCTTCTGTTTGACACTTAGTACAGCTGGAATAACCGGAATGTCCCTTTACACACAGAACGAATGATTTCGCTGGAGTATCACAAATTAAAGCCTCAAGTCTGCAATTTATATTACGACCATTGATGGTAACACCGTTTTCGCACATATCTTTAGCCTCGTCAACAAATTGCTTCAAAAAATCATTGGCATTTGTCGGTTTTTCATATCCATGATAAAGTCCAATTACAAATACATTATCATATGGAAGAACTGAACCTAATATGGGCCAGAACTGTTGTGATGACGATTTCGACAATGGTAATCCATCAACATTGATAGTTATTTTCACACAATCAATATTATCCTTTACGGATGTCAATATATTTAATACAGATTTAAGTAATCCAAAATGGTGATATATTCCCGGTGTTACTGTGCGTATCTCTTGTTGTCTCGGTGTTCTTAGAAGTGATCGTGCATCTATCGACAATTTTGAAAAACAAGAGTGTTGTTTTAATCTTTGAAGTAATGCTCTCAGAGCAGTATGTGAGACTTGATGCTCTGTAGCCCAGACAGCAAGGATATCTTTAAAATCGCTATTTGTTGTATTTACATTTTTAGATGCCACATGAGGTATTGAGTCACAAGAAATGTTTATAGAAGATTGTTCTGAATCCGATTCGTTTAACTGTCGACATTCGTCATTTTCATATGCTGCAAATATATTATTCTCATTTTCTTCATTAATAGTGCCATTTTCAATTGCATGTGTTTGTTTACGTTTATGTATTGTATGTGAATACGTTGTAGAATCCTTTTTTAAATATTCTGATTTTTCATCATTATCACTATGTGATGATACAGTCGTATTTATGAAACTATCATATATAAGTTCTGATTCTTGTGCAGCTAATTGACGCAAGCGACGTTTTGATAGATGTGCAATGTCTTTTCTGGGCAAATGTCGTTTCATTATATATCTGTTAAATAATGTTATGATATTAATCAGTATTATTTGAAGAGAGAGACAGAGGGAGAGTATACTTTTAGAGTTTTATTATATTTTATTTTTAGTTGATATCATTATACTGTTTTATAATTTTCATATTATATTGTACATAATATATTATTAATTAGTATAAATTATATTAGAATTATGCATTGTTATTTTAAATAACGATAAAAATATTAAAATTAAAAAATATATACAAATGTAATATTTTAAAAATGTCTTTTAAGAATGTTCTGGAGACACCGTCCCAATGAAAAGTATGCAGAAAATATTTAAAACATCGATATTAATTCTCCAGGGATACAAAGACAAAGAAATATATACAAATAGCAAATCTAATAGAACGTATAAAAGACATAGATTCAGTGACTTGTAAGGCTGGTTCTACGATTAGTCGTATGTCGAAGTCGAATGTTGGAACGTAACCGATGGTCCAATAAATAAAAATCGTTTTCGAAAAATAAAATCTCTCATTGAATCATCGGCTGCGTTCCGACATCCAACTATGACACACGACTGATTGTAGAACCGACCTAAATAATTGTTACTATACTATTACTTTTCCAAAAAACAACTTTTTATCTAAATTGTAAATCAATCTCAAATTTAGCCCCGAACTTTGAAAGACAATACAGAATATGGTATATTTTCATTAACATTGTAGCATTTGCGAAAGGAATAAAATCGAGTGAGAATCTGTACAAATATTAATGTCACTCTTGTTATCATATTTTTCAGAGTCGACGATCGGCGTTTCCCCTATTTATTTTGCACGGACGTACACGGATACGTGTCTCGTGTGTCGTCCTGAAATGGTTTTGAAACGTTGCTGACGCAACGTTTTGCCTTTTGTGAATTTCATTTCTACATTTATAACGAACGAAGAAGATTGGTAAGTTTATTACAATAATACGTAATTATAGTAGATGTGCAAACTATTAAAAAAAGAATGAAATCGAGTGAGAATTGGTATTGAAAATTACATAATGTTTTTGAATACAACATTATTTTACTTTAGTATTTATCGTTTTTTGCCTAATTATTTCAATTACTGCAGCATTAAGTAAATATATTTTATTATATACAAAGTAATAAAATATATATACATATATATACATATATATATATATATATTTATGTAATACTTCAGTACTTAACTGAAATAATTAGGCAAAAACCAATAAATATAAAAAGAAAATGATGTTATATTAAATAACATTATATAATATTCAATACTGATTCTGTTGAAATTGACATGTTCAAGACGCTTAGTTATTGGTTGGACTCAGATTAGAGTACGTTTTCATGCACTTTTATTTTTCTTCTGATTGGTAGACCTGAGCATACGAGCGTGCGAGGCGGATCGCTGTCTCTTAGTTTTTGGTTAAAGTCGCAAGTAAGCCCGCTCACGCAGTTCACGTGGTATTCTTTAATTATTCACGAGTGTATCTTATTGTTTATACTAAAATATATATGTATATGCTTTTCCAACAAACAAAGCCTATCGAGTTCTTTTCCATCAGATTATGAGACTTAAGCGCTGTTCGTCTCGTCGGTGCGAACTGTGTTGAGGTTAAGAGAGAGAGAGACGATACAGTGAGTGTTCGTAAAGAACAAGCGTATTTGTTTCCGTGGTTATCTGAAGAAAATGGCAGAAGAAAGTTTTAGTCGAGAAATTCGAGTGACGAAGCTTTCAAAGGCATCATACAACCGCTGGAAGATTGAGATTCGGGATGCGTTAGAAAGTCACCGAATATGGGAAATCGCCAGTGGAATTGCAGACAAACCACGAGAGATAAGAGATGCGAGTGACACCACAACGAATAGGAAAGAAATAGAAGAATGGAAAGCGAAAGATAGTAAAGCTCGTTCGATCATTCGGTCAACGCTAGATGATACGACATTTGATCAAGTATGTGATTGTGAATCGTCAGCGGACATTTTAAAAAGAATTAAAGCTATTAATGAACCGAAAACATTAAATGTTCTTTTGGAATTACTGCGTGAATTCTTTAGTTACTCATGGAAACCGGATAGTACGGTCGGTACGTTCGTAGCAGGGCTTAAGGTTATCGCTCGTCAAATCGAAGCGTTAGAATCTGACGACTTTGGAAAAAATTTCAATGAAAAACTCATGATGGCAAAAATCCTTGGCTGTCTACCAAAAGAATTTGATAATTTCGTCACAAGCTGGTCACTTTTATCAGAAGATATATCACTGGAATCTTTTCTGGAAAAGCTCACGAATGTGGAGAGAAGCATTACTGAGCGTTCAATTGACACATCGCGTGAAGTTTTTAAGGCTCAATCGAAACCAGGAAGTAATCAAGCAAAGAAGACGATAAACAAGAGATTTCAAGGAAAATGTCACAAGTGTGACAAAAAGGGACACTTGCAAAAAGATTGTTGGTCGAAGTTGGAGAAATCGGCGTCATCTGAAGAAAAGAAGACAAATGAGAAATCAAAGGATCAAAAAGAAGAAACTGGTCTGTCAGCATCGTCAGCCTTCAAGATAAACGAAGAAAATAAAATTCTTGCAGATTCGGGAGCAAGCGTTCATTTGACAGGAAACATGGAATGGTTTTCGTCGTTACGTAAGCTCAATACACCGTTGATATTAAATGTCGCAAATGGTAAATCTTTACAGGCAACCCATATAGGCAACATCGCTGTTGAAAAATCAAATGATGGCAAGAGATGGGAGAAACGTACGTGGGAAAATGTGTATTATGCGAAAGAGATGGGCGCTGCATCCTTATTTTCGACAACGTTCATGGAAATAAATAAAGGATATAGTTTTTATCACGGAAATGGAATCATGCGATTAAGTAAGGGGCGACAAACCATGATAGGTGGAGAAAGGATTGGAAATCAATACATTCCTTATATTCGAGTCAAGCCACCATTGATTTCTGCAAATGTAGCTCGGTCAGTTGGATTATGGCATCAACGATTGGGACACGTAAGTGATAC